ACTGCTGTTGTTTTTACTGTAATTCAGTGTTTTGGCGGCAATTTTACGCAGCGGCGAGCGTTTAGTTCAGCTCCTGGCATCTAGCGATCAGCAGCGAACAAGTTAGTACAATTATTGTAATGATAATAAACTTGTTGGGATACATGATGTCAATTAATTGTTTTTTTTACAGAAAAAGGAGGCATGATCAAGAACAACAAATGGCAAATCCTGAACGTGAAGACGAACGTGGCCCACAATAAAAATGATATTTTCTTTTGAATTCATTGCTTTATTCTAAATATCCTTTAGCCTCGTTTAATGTAAAGATTGCATTTGTATTTTTAAAATTTATTAACTGTTGTTTATTATGAATTAGTATTTATTATTAAGAGGTGTTAGCCCGTCCTACGTACGGGAATTCAGTAGTCAGTTAAAACCGTGTTCAATTCACATCAGCTAGTTTACACATATAAAGACAAAGTTTCTTGCAGTTTTAATGTGAAAAATCATCTTGTAAACAAATTTTGTGTGACCAAATATGTTTTTATTCCATCATAGGCCTATACGATATGCATTTTAAATCCGATAATTTTACAATAAAACAGCAATCCTGCAATTTTTACGATGTGAAAAGCGTTGAAGTGAGATTTGCAGCCGATTCGCACAGACGCACACTGATTATAAGTAGCCTACAGTAGAGAGAGTAATAGTAAATTGAGAAGTGTATAGACTTAGTCAACGATACCACCTTCCATAGCATACCTGCCTCTTCCATAATTATTATCACCACAATACAACTACTATACACAATTTCCAGTAGGTCTGAGTTGAAACGACCTAAAATAAAACGATAATATCCAATAAAATTCACAGTACACATAAATCGTCACACCTATCCTTTATATCAATTTCACTGCATTAATTGCTAAATAAATAAGTGTAAACAAAGAAAAGTAAAAACAATAACAGTTTGTTTTGAAACAGCTGTTTGGTTTAAATAACATTCATTTGAAAAAAAGAGCTCACGATTACTAAAAGAACTGAACTGGTCACATGTAGCAGGAATATAAAAAGTAAACACGCTAGTAAAGCTAATGACAATGACGTAATTGTCGATGTTTATTATCCATACCATTATCAGTTCTATCCTTAATAATTACCCACCCTCATTGAATAAGTGTACATAGTAATTTCCCATATTAGTTAATTTAAACTACAATATATTCATAGTTGAAATAAATGTGATATTTTCACGTTTGGGGGCGCTGATAGGCACCCCCAAACGTAACCACACTGAACACGATTTCATAAAAAGGATGGTTTGTCTAATTGCAGTATCCTAGGTCAATGTTGACGTTGTGTTCAATCTTTGTATAAAACTCGGCTGAGGTTGTGGTGGTAATTTAAAATCGTGATTCCTGATTATTCTTGATCTTCTTCTTATGACATCAATATTTCCGGACCTAATCCAAACAAAGTTAAAGCAGATACACATTAATTGTAAACAAAAAAGCTACCATTAAGAATTTAAACATGTAAACATTGTTATTTTTCTAATCTTTCCTTAAAGGTGGAGCAGTAAAATAATTTGCATTTATCCTTTTTTATTTATTAAGACTCGTGTACAGAGCCTCGATTTGTACTGTGGTTTAATTAGTTTTGGTTAAAACTGTAATTTAAACTGTGGTCTAATTATCTCTACTAATCTTACTTACTTCCTATAATCAATGACAAAAATAAAATAACCTCATAGTTCCATAGTTTATATTTAACCAGCTGTTAAAACAAATTATATTGCTCTAAAAAAAATCGAAGATTACAAAGATTGCTTTAAAAAATAATTTGAACATCCTAGTATTTTACTATATATATACCTATTTAATTAATCTGTCATCCTCTTACAGAAGAATTGAACGTATCGATGATTAGCATTACACATAGTATAAATAAGTAAACCCTAAGTATTTCTTAACATTTTTATCCAAATGCTGAATTTGTGACACAAAAGCTGAATGTTTACAGCTGTTATGTTATAAGCAAATTATTTTATGCCAAAAGCTAGTTTAGAATCTTAGCGTCGGCTGCTAGACTTTTTAAAAATTAAAACTTAATTTCTAAAAAACTTGGACCCTAAACTAAAATTATGGCTTCGACATTCCCTAGTTCTCAAAATTATCTTTCTTTCAACACAAAAATCATGAAAATCCGTCGAGTGGTTGATTCAGAATCGTGAAATAAAAAAACACTGTTTCGTTTTAATATTATAGATAGAAGATAGAAGATTACATTTTAATGAGTACTTAGGTTTGCTACAACAGGGAAGAAAATAGTGTGGTTTTAAATTGATATATTAATAGCTAAGTATGAAGTAAACAAAATTTGAAAATGTCGTTAAATTATATCCATAGACAAGCAAGATACATCAGTTTATTTATTCTCAATAAGAATATCAGGGTAATTTTAAATTTAAACATTTTTGGGATTTTTTCCGTGACCTTTAGGCATACAACAATGCTTCAATATACTAAATTATTGTTTTTTTTTAGCTCTACAAAATGGTTTGGTAATCTTATGTTTACAGGGTGAAAAATTGAAAAATTCCATTTTTACCTTATAAAACCCCCCATAAACCCCTGTTCACTTATCCGATCATGCTGGTTCGCGAACTCGTTGGAATAAAATGTAGGTTTACACGTTTATACAAAATTTCATCAAAATCGGATCTTTATAATGGTTTAAATACCTGCATTCAGTAATCCATCATGCTGCTTGTGGCAACTATAGTTTCGGTTCACAGGGAACCATCTTCAGTCCGTACAAGGCGTCGTTATTCACTTCCATATATGAAGGTCGTCATAAGTACATAGCGTTCGTGTTCTATGTACTTATGACGACCTTCATATATGGAAGTGAATAACGACGCCTTGTACGGCCTGAAGATGGTTCCCTGTGAACCGAAACTATAGTTGCCACAAGCAGCATGATGGATTACTGAATGCAGGTTTTTAAACCATTATAAATATTCAAACGTAATCCGGAGGCTAACAACTCTTAAAAATAAAATCGGATCATTTTTGCTCGAGGTATCGTGCTAACGAACACATATATAAATATATATATATATATATATATTAATTCGAACGGATGGTGTTTTTGGCCTCTGGTGACATCAAAACGAAAAAATAAATCGGTCCCGGGTCCAAGTCTTACCATGAGACCTACGGTATTAGATTATTCCCTATATGAGAAATTCGCTAAAAGTGCCGACAGCATTGACTTTTGGAAAACACATTAGAAAGAAGAAGAATAAGTTAGAGGAACTTACGGGTGAGCATTTTTTCGTCTAAAAACGCCGTGCGATTCGCGACTATCGTTCGTTACTCTATCGAATCACATCATCTATACTACTATACTATCGATTCGATTCTTCGATTGTAGTTGTCGTTTGTTTTGTCGTCTGTTACGGCGGATCTGTACTGTCAGAGGCTTTATTTGTCATCGAGCGTAGCGTACAATGTTTTGTAAGGACGGATATAATTAGAATTCCTTTTAGGATCAATATTATTTTTTTTTATAAATTTATCCTGATCACACTTTGAAATTAATCGGCTAGTTTGTTCTTCTCGCCAAATTTAAGAATAATTAAGCAACTGAATAAATATTGATCAAATCCCAATCATCAAGTTAAGCTATGAAGAGTAGAATGGTAGATATACCTAATTTTCTCTGGCAACCACTCACAATAGTTGGAGTAAGCTCTAGTTGAAAAATTGAACATTTAAAGGAGCCTGGAGAATAGGCTATTTTGTGTTAAGTCATAGACAAAAATAATTGTCTATGGTTAAGTTACAAAGAGCCTACACGAGTGTTCCTTGAACAAGGCCAATACCTAAGTTAAAGAGCAGAACTGATATATTTTTTTAGTCCACTATGTACTGTTAAAATTTTATTACTGATGATAATATGCTCATTTATTTTTCATTCTATCTTACAAAACGTTAATTTAATTATAATAATTCATATTCATTACAGTATTATATTTTTTCATTTACCAAAGCAATAAATAAGTTAGTTAGGTGGTATCATGCAATAAACTATAGCTGGAAATCTTTAGTAAACACTTTTTAATTATTAGCAGAACCAATATCCATTGCAGGAAACCTAATTCCCATTTTTGAATCCAGTTTTATGTCCATGAATTAAGCTAAGTACATTAGAACCCCAGAAACTCAACACCGTCGGGACTTAAAACAGCGTCAGCTTTTAAAAATTTCAAGTTTACAAAAGTGACAGGTTATAGAGTAACAGCAATATTTTACAATTTTTTCTGTTTTAGTGATGGTTAAGAATGCATTTTAAAAGATAATGCCAGAGCTAGGCCTATACATAAGTTATTCACTCTGCACTGATATTACAGCAATTAAATTTTGTTTTCGTAAAAATATTGTACAGTACGTAATACGGTAATGTTTTAGTTTAGTCCTTTCAAAGGAAAATATATGTCAGCCTTATTTCGAAACCTTAAGAAAGTGCCAAAGTGTCCCATAATGTACAATCACATATTTTTATTTCCAACCACCTCATTTGTAGAAAAAAATAATATTTATCCAAAGGGTTCCAATACAGTACAGCACATGAATTGATCAGAAACATGTATGTTAAAATTATAGGCCAAACCAAACTGAACCTAACTCCTCAGACCTTGACAAAATTGTTCCATGAACACATGCTTTCCATTGGTTTGACGCTTATCACATTCTGATGTATTTTTCATATTACTGAGCATGTATGGAACCGTACTCTATTTAACCTTTGATGAAACCATTACAATCAGGTTGGTAAATGCAAGATTAATTGTAGACTGTCAAGACTGCTCGACACCCTCACCCTATACAACAATAATCAGAACAGCGTTCTGGTGATAGGTTGGTGAATAAAATGAAATCTAATTTAAACCAGTTTTTTTATTTAACACATCATTTATCCATTATTATTAACATATTTACAGGGTTTCTACAGAGTTTAACAATAATTCAGGTAGAATCAAAATTCTAGGCCAAACATTAATCTAAGCAAATGTAAGAACAAATATTTTGAAATCTTAAAATAAGTGATGGAAGAAATTGCTACAGTAGGTACGCCAAAAGGCCTCCTTTAAGACTGTAAGTACAGTACTTAAATGATTTACTCAAGTCACACAGTTTCATATACAAAGTTTACTACTAATACAAAATATTCTACCGGATGGATTTACATACATAGCAATATGAAAATGAATTAATTAAAATACTTTTTGAATTATTAAAACTTCCAATTCCCTGAGGGTTTCTACCATCAGGGAATTGAAATTTAGCCAGGGGAAGTGAGGTACGGCAAACCTGGTCAAAAGATAATTTTGTCACTGGTTTTGTTTCAATAAGAAAATGAATATAGCCTACGATAGGAAAACTGTAATCTATGGGTTTATTTACAATTAAGTTTATCATACGGCCTTAATTTTTAATTTATACACCCACAGATTACAGTTTCCCTATTGTAGGCTATATTCATTTTCTTATTAAACAAAACCAGTGACAAAATTATCTTTTGACCAGATTTTACTCACTTTCCTCGGCTAAATTTCAATTCCCTGATGGTAGAAACCCTCAGGGAATTGAAATTATCATACACATTTGTTAACAAAATAGTTAGTTTAGCATGTCAATTTTTGTACGTTTTGATGGGCTGCAATCTTGTTCAGTAATAGTAATGATGCGGGCTGCTTTCAGACAATCTGCAGTAGTCCCCACTCTACTGCTCTGGCCTGAAAAAAGTATGCCAACATTAAGCATGGAAATTGTTATACTTGAATTAGGGATGGACGGGACAGGATGGCATTTTATTTCCCTAAATCATCGGGAAATATTCCTTGACAAATTTAATCAAAATTACCGTTTACCGTTTGGTAAATGGTGATATGGTAAATAACGAATAGTGTTATTGGTATCTTGGGGCCCCAAAACAAAAAATTATGATGGTCCCGGGTTTAAGTCTTACCATGAGACCTACGGTAATAGCTTCTTCCCTATAGGGGTATTTGCTAATAAATACCCCTAATTTTTACAATGATCAAAAAAGAATTATTTTAACCATCTGTTATGCTAATCAAAAAAATAAATGTACTTATTATTCATTTTACACATTAAAGAACAGTGGACTATAATACCCTAACTAAGAAAATTCTTACAAGACAATAAAAAAAAGTTAAGTTAAAAGTTAAGACAATTAAGACAGTTAAGAATTCTTAACTTTTCATGGGAAAACTTAAATTTGGTTGTTATTGTTATTTATTTGGTTGTGCAGCCAGATCATGATGGGCATGGTACTAGGCCCTACTCGAGAGCTCTTCATTGATTCCAGAACAGCCCTACAATTACAAACAACAGCAAACTGTATTACCAATGTATTTGTTCATCCCTAGTAGTTAGGATAAAATACTGTTGTCAGATAAAATTTCATATACACATTAGACGGGCAAAAGTTTATCAAAAATATTATAGCCTAAAGAAACAATAACTGTACCTTGTTTCTTATGCAGACTCAATTTTCGGTAATTTTTTCTTTTAATGCTTTTTCCATTAAAGGTTTCTTCATGCGCTTGAATGGGCAAACCATTGCTTTCATCATTTGAAACTTTGGAGGTCATAAATTCCAGACATCCCTGCAGAATCTCGTTTCCTTTCTGTAGGCTTTCCTCATCCAAGTTCCACATCACCGATTCAATGGAGCGCCAAGTTGCCTTTGCTAAATTTAATAGGTGACGTTTGTTACTCCCCCGTCGTTGAAGTTCAGAGTAATGGGTGTTCAATGGAAGTTCTTCAATGTCATGTCTATGGTCCAAGAATTTGTCATGAATGGTACAATTATTACTATTCTCATCCTCATAATTGCTCAATTCATCGTCACATTTAAAAATGGGATTATCAAATAGCAATTCATGAACTAAGTTTAAATCAAACTTTTGGTAGTGAATGCTGATGAAGATCATGTGTTTGCATATTAATCTCTCCTTTCTAAAGTCTGGGCAGGTACAGCTAGATTTCCTATTGTTTAGGTCAAAATTGACATCGTACGTCATGGTTGAGTGGATTTGAAAATGGATTTCAGAAACAGGCACAATAACACAACCATGTAGACTTTCAGCTGAAGTTAGTCTATCCATGACATGAGTTACGAACCACTTAGGACGCCCGTGTAAGTACTTAGGAATTTCTTCAGAGTACATTCTACAGCTTGATGACATTATTAAGTTTTCCCTAACATATGTCAAATACCTTTCGGGTAAGAACTGGCTCAATAAAACCGAGACAATCTCACTCAGAGAACATCCTTTGTACCCTTCTAGGTACGTATATTTTAATTCTTTATTGAGTCTTTCAACTCCGTTGTTTGAGTTGATGAACATTTCTAATGGTTTGTAAGCTAATGCCCAACGTTTGATCTCGGGATACCATGTGTTCTCAAAATAGTTTTTCAACGTTGACTCTTTATAATGTTTCCACTCTTTCAATGTTTTTACAGCCTCTTCCATTTTTGCAATGTTGGGGGCATTAGCAATTTTCCTTAATAAATTTAAGGCTTCTTTACGTGGAATTGACACATTTTTAGATTTTGATAACCATCGGCTCCAAGCCTGTTCCCGATGGAATGAACAGATGAAAACATTGATATTCTCAAAAACTTCTTCAAGACTGACAATTTCTTCCATGGCGAAATCCACCATTCCATACTGTGGGGTTATGTCTGGGTTGAAGGAGCGGAAAATGTTTAGCCCTTCAGTAATCGATTGAGTCGTTTCAAACTGTGTAATCATCACACCAACGACTTGGTAGTTCACGTTAGTTTCCACAACGATAAAATATAGAGGTAAAGCATACTTGCATGTTCTATAAGTCGCATCTAACAATATCGTGTTCTTTCCATACTTTCTGTAGAGGCGTTTCATGTCTTTATTTTGGAAAACAAAAAGTAAATGACTTGAAGTGGCATCCATTTCTTCTGCTGGGATACTGTTGTCATCATCCTTAAAGCTGTACGGCCGGAAGAAAATGTTATTGCTTTTGTCCTTTTGAAAATCTTCCAGATATTTTAAACAATTTTCCTGATCAATTGGACTCCTCTTAATTTTAAGTTTTGTTGAGGATATTATATTTCGAATTGTTTTCATGTCTGGAAAAAACTTTCTACGGGACCGATCACATTCATTGAGCTCGTTTTCAGCAAAAGCGTTTGCAAGTTTGGCTATTACTATGGAATTCCTTTGACCTTTGACAACAAGATCAGAAATGAATTTCCTCACTCTTTTGTCGACTGGTTCAACTGCATCAGCTTCTTCTCCAATAAGATGATTTTTGTGCTCATCTTGAGTTGGAAAGTTGTAAAAATAGCACTCTTCTCCTAAATCTGTCTCATCCGATATTGATTTCTTGATTAACTTGGAGGCAGCTCGTTTTTTCACATCTGTCATTTCATCAGTCACCTAAAAGCAAAAAACACTTAACAATGTAAAATTGTTTAAACCTAACAAATTATACGCTAGAGACAGTAGAACCCTGCTAACCTGTCACCCAAGCGACCCATTTTTGAACCCAAAGGAGAGGAGGAGGACCTCCCCACTGGAGGAGCATAAACCGTAGAAATAACAGTCATCCCGTAAGAATCAATAATTGTTTAACATTGTAAGATTTTGGATTACATTGTTGAATTGGGATAGATTGTTAAGGCTAGCAGTCAAAGTTTAATGAAAATGTATATTGTTTTGTTTTTGAAATACCAGATGACTGAAACCAGATGAACTGAAAGATGGTGCTAGGCTTATAATTGCTCTAAACAAATTCACGTTGCAGAATAATACTCAATATATAAATAAAAAATTAGAAAGTTGTAAAGGTTTTATCATTTGGCTAGGCCGGGCTACCTCAATTTTTGAAGGTCTTGACTGAAAGAATTCAGTGTAACTTAACAATCATAGAAATCTGCTTAAGATATCTGGATCAAAAATTTCAGTGGTTTATGACAAGTCTGCAGCTGTCGAAGCATGAGTCACCTACTCAGTATGTTGATATGATGTTACACTTCTTTTTACATATAAAAAATTTAGCATATTTAAATTTATATTTAAAGTTTATTAAAAATGCCTGAATAGTTAAAATTTATGAATAATCAGTGATCATGAATAAAGAACAATATTGTAACAGAAAACATCATTCAAGCCCAACAAGTACGTTCCTTACCTGGTGATTCATAAATCGGACTACTCTCTTGACAGTAATTTTTGCAGGACAGTCTAGTTTTTTTGTTGTCTGAACTTTTTTGTATCGCTTCACAAATATGTGGTCATCCATTGCCTACAAACATTAACAGGTTTCAAATTAGGTATACAAAAAGACTAAGGTATAATACTTCAAAATTGCAATTAAAACATTAATCTATCAGGAATTATGTTGTGTTTTCGTGGTAGTAGTGCAATGTAACTAAATGTGGGCAACAACACTGTGTAATGGGTCCAATAAATAATTAAATAAATAGTATTGATCGAGTATAAACAAATGATTAATTATCGGAACGGTACGGTAATCAAACAAATTATCAATAACGTATTCAATTCAATAATGGACGCTTAGTTAGGTAACATGGTGGTTAAATTATAGTCAAATGGTTTTAAGAAAAGTAGGCCTATTAATCGTAAATATTCCAAGAGGGCTATATGAGAGCCCTGATTGTCGTTGACGAAGACGAAGGGCAGGATTAGACATGGACAATAATTGACTGGAGAGTGTAGTGTTGGTTCAACAAATATGTATCAACAAATTGTTTACAAGCCAGCCAGTTAAATTGACTGTAATAGTAGTACTATTAATAGGCCTAATACAATTTATTCCTCGGTATTACCGAGAGAATTCTCAGTCAACCGGAGGTACAGTCCAACCTCAGTATAACGAATCTGAAGGGACCGAACTGAATATTCGTTATATCAAGGGTTTCGTTAAAACGAGGTTCGTTATATAGAGGTTATGTTTGCAGGAATTTCGCTAAGTCGAGGTTCAGAACCAGCGTCGGTCAATATAGGTCGGGATTAGACGTCATTAAAACACAATTAAAGTAGCATAGGCTACAATACTTTACAGTACAGTGTTTACATTGTACAGTAGAACCTAAATTATCCGGCATAATAAAAGGGAGGGATCTTGAATATTGCGCAATCATGACAGTGGCATTGACCTTGGTACAGGTTAAAAACTGTAAGTTTAAAATCACAGCTTGTTTTAACCCTCCTAAATCTAGCCAAACACTGTATTGCAATTGCGTAGTCATAAACCATGTAAAGAACAAAACAAAACAGTAGTAGAAAGTTTTGTAAGCTACTGCTCGTGATAGTCCGGTAGGCTACTTACAGTACAGTACTGATTTATCACAACAGAGGAATGTCAATAATAATTATTAACTATAGCATTGGTGTTGCTAGTTGAAACAAATCGTATTGAAAACAATACAGTAAATTATTAGATAAGGCATTATAAAAGTGTATAATCATAGCCAACTTAAAAGATAATAAAAACACTCGAAAAAGGAATGTTAAAATAGCCTAACGATGTTGCTATTCTTTCTCTTTGGTTTTGTTTTTATATTCTTTCTTATGTTTCTCTTCATCCAAAAACTGTACAATTCACCATAAGTACTTATCGCCCAATCACAGCTTACTAAACATTACGTCGTCATCAGTCCTCAGTGAATGAAATCAGTTCTCAGTTGCAACATAGCGCGTGCAGCGAAAGCAGACAGAGATGTGTAAAACCACGTAAAACGGAGCAGACAAATGTTAGCGCAAGCGATGACGTCACCTTTCCATTTCATTTGATAAAGAAACAGATTTTTCAAAAACAATAAAGGGGTGGGGGATTTTTTATATCGAGGGAAAGACGTAGACAATTCGTTATGCAGAGGTTAAATTCGCAATGTAGAGGTTCTGACAATGATAAATTCGCTATATTGAGGTGTGTTATTTTAGCCGAAATCACGAAAAATTCGTTAAATCAAGGTCGTTGTTATGGTTTGTTCGTTATGTAGAGGTAAAATATACATTGTGTCTTATGGAGAGTTCTAGGGGATTTAAAAAAAATTCGTTATATCAAGGAATTCGTTGTATCGAGGTTCGTTATATCAAGGTTAGACTGTACTTAGTTTTATCTCCTCAGTTTACTCTGTGAAATCTGTTACAGGACTGTGAAGTTTTATGTTGAAAGATTTTTTTTATGTAAAAATATGGTTAGGTACCTTTAAATCTCGTTGAGCAGCATACTTCTTTTTTGCACAGGCACCAATGTCTTTTCCTTGATGGCATACGTACAATATGGATTCCAACCAAATGTATGGAATGTTTTCCTGCCATTGAACCCTCGAAGTTGGCTTGGAGATTGCAGCTGTAAAGTTAATGATAAACAAATCACTCTGTAGCTTATTTTATAATATGAAAAAGACATAGGCCTAGGATGGATCCTGACCTAGCTTTACAGCTTAAAAACCTCTTTATGTTGGTTTCCTAATGTTGGAACCTTTTAATTATAAAAAATGTCATGGGTAATTAACAAAATCTTTGTTTATCTCGTATAAAAGCTAGGCCTAACTTAATCCTCTAATTGTGTTCGGGGTGAAATTTTACACAAGGTAAGTAGATTTACCAATTAGGGCTAGTTAACTTAAGTTACGGTACATGACAAAAAAATCTTAAGTTTAAAGTTTAAAGGCCTATTCCTTACTTCACCTCAAGAGGGCAATTTCTTTACTTTAGGGTACTTTAAAACCTATTTATTTGTTTCTTTTAATACTTTACTTTTTTATGAAATGGCGACCATACATAGTAGGTATTTTAAGCCAAGTATGAATGGAGATGAGTGTGGGATGAGTGGCGCGATCTTGTAGTCTTGTTAGTGACTAAGGCCGACATTCCTTAGACACAGCTGTTAATTAATAGCCCATACAGCTAATGGCAACTAAGGGACCTACAGTTTATAGTGGAATCCGAACCACATTTTTTTTGCCTTGGTATACACGAATTGGTCTAATTTTCTCTTAGGCTACACACAATATTCCTCAGATTACAGCAAATCTCATTAAACAATCACATTTAAACTCACAACAATGCCTATTGTAACTTCAGTTAAGTTAGGCCTTACTTAGGCAAACCTTCGGAATTCGTCTCCACCAAAATGAATTTGATTGTTTCTACTTCTTAGGCCTATCAATATATCGATTGACTGTTTGTGCAAAGTGGACTGAAGCATATAAGATGGCAAACAATGTTAAATCTCAAAGGCCTAAATTTTAAGCCACAAGTTTATTAAAGTTAAGTCATCTTAGTTGAGTTAAGTTCAACCTATTTATTACGCTACGTTAACTCGATGTTTTGATTAATTCAACTTAATGAGTTGTTAGGTAGTTTAAATAGTTGAGGCCTAGTTAACTTATTAAGTTACCTTAGTTTTGATTATATTTAGGTTATAACTTAGATAGTGGATTAAAACAATCGATTTAACAGGGTGTTAGACGAATTCCAAAGTTTTGCCGTAACTTAACTTTGGCAAATAGGCTAGGCCTATAATGCTTGATTCACCAACAATGACTTTCAAACAAATAATCTCTGACCTGTTGGTAGTCTTTACGCAATTCTATTACCTATGCCTAACTTATGCAATATGATAAAATCAAAATCATCAAGCAGATTAGGCTACGTCAAGTCAATAGCCTAAGTGGGGGCTGCACTTTACTTTAAGTCCTACACTCATTCGAATGAAAGTATCGATTATTCGTATTCGATTGTTTCATTCAATATATCGTTTGGTTAGTTAGGTTAGGTGGACCTTACCTAACTAACCAAACGATAGGCCTAACTTATATCGAATAATCGATATATCAAACGATATTTTCATTCGAATGAGTGTAGGACCTAAAGTAACTTAAAGTGCAGCCGTAGTGGGTACAGTTTCTTAACTGGGCTATGCTAATATTGATTGAAACTAAGTTATCGAATTCAAAATATTGATTAATCGTTATTTTTAAATAGGGATCTATTATAAAATTAAACTATCATAACCTAACCTAACCAACCAAACTTGCTGATGGTGAAAAATTCGCATGAAGGTTTACTAATCGAATCGATAGTTTCGATCGATATTAGCATAGCCCAGTTAAGAAACTGTACCCGCCTAAGTTATAACACAAAAAGTTACAAAACTGCCTGCACAGTTTTAGACTAACTTATTTTGACTGAGAACCTGGAAGTTAGGCCTAACATAACTCAGTTTTTTAGTTGGGCTATTTTTTGTAATTTTATCGAACTCGAAATAAATAGGCCTAGGCCTACAACTTGTGTAAGTTAATGAGAATTTGGGATGAGTTACAATAATACCTTCACGTTCGAATTAGAACCACCAATTAGGCCTAATAATTGAGAAAACCAATTAGTCGACTCACCTTTGACATCTAAAACTTTCTTAGTATAGGTGCGAAGGTTGAACCTCGTTCTGGTAGTTGTTTCCATTTCAGCTAGCCTCAATGAAAAATCTTCATAGCTATTAGAGATGAAACATTTAGGCCTAACTACATTTTCTTTAATTCCACTTCCCATATCTAAATCCGAGTCCGAATCCATTTTGTCGAATAAAACATAGGCTACAACACCACAACCCCTTACCCTTAGTACTCCGCCATTTAGCTTTACACGTTTAGTTAGTTTTACTTACTTTGTTGTGTAGTTTGTTTGTTTCGTTTAGCATTAGCTTTCTCTTCTCTTCTCAATAATCGATTGAATCGAACCCATTTGGTTCGAAATAATATCGATACTTAGTATTTCGATATTTAACCGATAGTGCACGGCGTTTTTAGACGAAAAAATGCTCACCGAATTTACGAACACTCGCGAGTCATGTCTCTTTCGAGGACCAACGATGTATCTATGTGGCTGTGTTGTTCGAGAGAAACATGAACAATCTACAGTTTTCTACACTGGATCGTCTGTGAACAAACGAGCACAACAGATAATGCCCTAATGTTATGAGCTGTAAACATAATAAAGAACACAATTTGCTACTTTGAAGCTTCGTGAACTACGGCCGTTTTAATGGAATACTATAGTCCTCCAATAAGGTTAATCTAATCTTACAAAGCCGTTAATAATGGCGCCTTCAAAGTTACCACTTCAATGCAATGTATTTGTGTGTTGAAGTTACGCCACAGAAGTTGAGGGGGTAAGAGCTAGACATCTGGCCGTAGCGTAGTGCCATTGATAGGGAGTATAATAATTGAGTATTGTATAATAAAGATAGTGCCTTCTACCTTCCGAATGTACAGGGAAAACAATTAGTCAGAGGGGAAAATTGGCTCGCAATGTTGGTAACACCATAGAATAAACCCTGGGTAACACCATAGAATAAACATACTCCCTAAGGACTAAGGACTACCCCTTTAGGGAGTATGTTTAATCTACCTTCCAACCAAAAACCTAATCACAGAATGTGAAAATGTGATTAATTCCTGGCGGGAGCGTAAATTTTCTTTCCCATAATTTTGGCCATTATGACAAGACAAATCGTCGCATACGGGTGGGAACCGGCTTAAATGATAAGGATAAACTAAAGAAACCACTATAAGTCTTAGGTTTAACTAGCTCGCTTTTGCAAAGTTTGAGTTCGAAGGTGACCTTAGTTTAGGAACAGTCCAAGTTCCTTGTTGATCCTAAATCTCGACAAAGCTACTATCATGGGATGTCTACAGTTTCCCTGTCAATTTACGCTTCATGCTAGTATGTTGAGATAGTATTAACTACAGACAGAGCAGATCTATTGTTCTAATTCAAAGCCAACTATGGTGTTCAAGACGAGAATGTTTTCTCTGGATGTGATACGTCTCTAAGCTGATGCGATGCGATTGAATATGAAATAAATTATAGATATAAGATTATAATTGAGGTCTGTATATCACAGCCTTAAAATAAAGCCCATGTCAATTTTTTTTTAATTTCAAATTCATTTTTGTGCTTATATTTGAGCCTATTTTAATTTTTAAATGGATTCTGTACATCTACAGGAAAATATCTTTCAAACAGTTATGTGTAGATTTTTCCTGCGATGCACAAGAGCTGAGTAAAAAGGTTTTAAAGAAACATGCTTACCTGCGCCACTCATCCTACACTCATCTCCATTCATACTTGGCTTAAAATACCTAAAGGTCGCTATTTCATAGAACAGTATTAACAGTATTAATAGGCCTATACCTATAGATTAATTCTAAAAAAAAACAACATTATTTCTACTTCTTCTACTTGGTGATTCTATGATTTTAACATGTTTCCATAGTTTGCAAATCGGCTCTTTAAATGACTGCTAAAAAATTCAGTAAATGCAGTAAATACACTGCAGTGTAAATTCAGTTTTTTTAGTACCGGTATTCCATTGTAATATTCACGTCAACGCAAATGTTTCATTTCAACCACATCAGTAAATGTTTGTAGCACATGTTTCCTTAAATAGCAACTAAAATATTAACAGCAATTAAATTATCCAGCTGATCATTATGTAACCAAATATGTTCTCCATAAGGACAACATGGAAACTTTAAAAGTCACTGGGGCAGAGCCCAAGGGACTTAAAAAAAATGTTATGTCAGTTTGCAAATCCACACACGTAGATGAACATTTTGGTACCTATATAATATAAGGGGTTTAGTCCCTTAGTAGATTTCCCATCCTCATGGAACAGGTGAAGACAATAATTGTATTGTTAGTTCTATCCGGTTTTCTGTAGATGTTGTGTTTTGTTTCAATTTGTTTCTTGTTATTTCAGTAATTTAAAACCTCATTGAACCATATAAAACTATCTAATCATAAACAATAACTCGTCCACTATCTATAACCAAACAGTGAGACACAAATAATGTAAGACTAACCCTAAAATAATAGAAACAAATTGTAAACAAAACCCGACATCTACAGAAAACCGGACAGAACTAACAATAAAATTGGCTTCAGCTGTTCCATAAGGATGGGAAATCTACTCAGGGACTATGTTTTATCTGGTTTTAAGTATGTTTTATCTATGCTATAGTTAAGTCTTTTAAGTCATAGATAAAACATGTCTTAAAACAAAAAAGCCTTATTGTTCACAAAGTATACCTGCTTCTGCGTCATTGTTGGAGCTCACAAAATTTAATCAACGGTCGGAACAAATAATATAACGATTTAATTCAATCTCAACGGCTGTATATTGTAAATCTAACCATATGGTAATGTAACAATAGCATCAATTCAATTCACAAATAATAGAACTCTTGGTTTATACACGAAGGTGAAGGTATCTGAAGTGCGAAACAAGTTTTTAATGGAAAATCGGTAAGTAATATTTTGTACGTCAAACAATAGAAAATGATTAACAACAGTAATAACACTTTACGGATAGTACGTCTAGTTTAATTCAGCTTCTGAGCCTATTGAATACCCGCCGTGAGCAAAGTTACAACCAACTGATACACGAGGGATTGTCTATTTCTAGGCTAACTGGGTTATGCTCTAGATCTACCAAGGACCCCCAACACCCGAAATTTTTGCCAAGTAATAAAGGCGCTAAACCCACAACAGTCGTTCATTTAAATGTTCTACACTAGTGAATACAGTAGCATAATGTCAGGGTACAGTTTCTTAACTGGGCTAGATGCTAATATCGATTGAAACTATCGAATTGAAAATATTGATTAATAATCGATATTTTTAAATATATTTATTACTAGCTGTAACCCGCGGGCTTTGCCCCGTTTAACTTCTTAATTTTCAAGATTATCTCGTTCGCATGGCTCAATCACGTCCTGGTTGAAGTTTGTTCGCTAGCTCACTCACCTTTAGGTTGGAGCTCGTTCGCTGCGCTCACTTGCCTTCAGGTTAGCTCGTTCGCTACGCTCACTCGCCTCCAAGTTGAAGTTCGTTCGCTACGCTCACTCACCTTTTGGTTGCAAATTAGCTGTTGTCATTAATGTAAAAGAAATAATAAGTTTAGTGCTGCACCCTGTTGGTAATCCTTGTAACTTTAATGCTATTGAACATCATAGAACAGAACCAACTTGTTTAATTGAAACAGCTGTTAAGATTCAATAATTCTATTTCTCATAAGGTTAACATGGGAAACCCCAGAGCCACTGGGGCGGAGCCCGAAAGGATTTTTGAAATAAGAATTATGCCTATATGTTAATCGGGAATGTGAGCTATCATCATGCCAAATTTCAGCCCAATCCGACCAGTATTTTTCGCGTTCACTTGTCACAAACATCCAAACTTTCTCATTTATAATATTAGGCTAGTAGGATCAAATTAAACTATCTTAACCTAACCTAACCAACCAAACTTGCTGATGGTGAACAAATCGCATGAAGGTTTACTAATCGAATCGATAGTTTCAATTGATATTAGCATAGCCCAGTTAAGAAACTGTACCCTAATGTCATATGAATTACACTGTTTCGCATGAGAATTTAGGAAACGATGAATCGCACGAAGAATCGTAGGAGTATCGACTGTTATTGTTTCCAAATTTCTATTTATTGTTATGCTTGCTATTCAACTAGTTTTTCTTTTCTATTAGCATGTGATGTTAGTACTGAATTGATGTATGTATTATCTTTCTGTTATCTAGTCGCATGTTTTCTTGTAGTATTTATCGATTGTTATTGTTACCTAATTCTATCCTTTGTTATGCTTGCTATTCAACCAGTTTTTCTTTTTCTATTAGCATGTGATGTTAGTATTGAATTGATGTAGGCCTATGTATTATCTTTCTGTTATCTAGTCGCATGTTTTCTTGTAGTATTTATCGATTGTTATTTTTACCTAATTCTATCCATTGTTATGCTTGCTATTCAACCAGTTTTTTTCCATTAGCATGTGATGTTAGTCCCTATCTGCCTTTTAATAAATCCTGCAAAAAACAAAAAAAAGTAAAAGAGCATGAGAAAAGGCAGAAGGGAAGAAAATTTAATTAGGATCTTTCAATATTGTATCTGATCAGCATGTCAACCCTGTTATGTCAACCCTGTAAAAATGGTGTTATACCGTAAACAAATAAATAAATGAGTAGGGGTGTCCGGGTTGTGCGGGCCTGGGGGTCAGCCCAAGCTGGGATCGTTTAGCCCGTATTTGGTATTCAATCTCAATCTCGATGAGCGAAGTTACAACCAACCGATACAATAGGGTTAGTCAATGGCAAGGGAGAGGAACAGGTCCACGTAGGAAGTGGTGAAGTAAGTAGTAAAGGCGAGCAATGCGGAGTATGGAAAGGTTTGTGGCAAGGGTGGGTGTCTACTATAGTGGAACATGCCCTGTCAACTTTTAATGCATTGGCCTTAACTCTTATTTTCTTAGTACCCTACCCTAAATATACAGTAGACCCCCTCTTAACCGATCTCGTATTAACCGATAATCGGATTATCCGCCTTCCATCGTAAAATATTACAGTTTGTTTTAACCGACCTTGCTTTTAGAGCAGTTCGGCTTAACCGCCGCTTTCTAGGAATCTTGGCATTTCCGCTCCCACGCTGGGCGATGAGAACCGAACCATACGCTTATCTCCACAGGATGTGACTAAGAATAAATTATTTTGTAGGCCTATTGATCACAAAAAATATAGCATATTGTCAGTTTTTCATCATCATTCGTAGCGCGAGCACATCCTGATCTGATTTGTTATCTGTGCGGCAAATTTATAAAATCGTAAAGTGTGTTACGATTTTGAGAACTGATTGTCTTATCGCTGGAGTAAACAAACAACACAACTTGTAGGGAGGGCAGGGAAGGGGAGAAGGTCAAGATAGTTTTTGTGCCTCGAGCGTCCAGTGAGAGGCTATAAATAAACATCCTGTCTTGTAACAAAATGGTTGCTTGTATCTTTAATTTCGACAAAAGGTTCTGTACTGTATTATGATGGATTTGGAAAGCATCAATTAATTAATACATTACAGTATTAAAGTTATTAAAATAGGAATTTGTATTGCCTCTTGCCTAGTACTATAATCTATTCCACTGAAAGTAGGCCTATTTAACTTAACGGTGTTTTGTGTTTATTTATGACTTTTCTATCAATAGGAAAAAAGGATATAAGAGTAGGCCTAGTTTGTTAATAATGCAAGTATGACTTCAAAATAATGAATATATAATTCCAAATGAATAACACTTAATTATGTTATGATTTTAGGGATTGCCCGTTTTAACCGACCTTTTGAGTTATCCGACCTAGGTCCGGTCCCATTTGGGTCGGTTAAGAGGGGGTCTACTGTATTAGGTCTATTGTCATTTAAACTCACATAAGTTAACAACCAAACTAAGCCCAACGGATCTGTAATTTATATAGGCTATTATTTGTATTACAGTTGTATGATTTTACGTGATAAAGCCACCTACAAAGGGGAGTATACCGTTCTATAGTCGAGATAAAATTACAGAAGGCCGTTGAAGACGTGGGAGTAGGGAAAATACCACAAACCCAAATAAGATTATGAACTTATATTTTCTAATCAATTTTAAATGTTATGGTTTCTGTAATCTAAAAATTCATGTGTCAACTACTGGTACATGTACAAACTGATACATTAATAAAAGATCATTATTTTGTTGATTTAAGTCCATAAAAATGTATACATTAGTGTAATATGTACAAAGTCTAATCACTTTGTTTTCGTCACTAGAGGACTGCACAAGTCCTCGGCTCACTTCAAACTGGAGGTTTGTTAAATGTATACAAAAAAATATAGATCAGAGTTTAGTGGTTTTGAGTGGTTGTCGAGTGACTAACTTATTTACTTTTTTTGGTGAATGGAATTTTTTATGGTTATTTTGTGTGTGAATTACTAAGTTCCACTGTTCTTAAATTAAAGTAAAACACTTTTTAGCGAATTTCCCTTTAGGGAAGTAGCTATTACCGTAGGTGGCATGGTAAGACCTAGGCCCGGGACCGATTTACTTTTTCATTTTGAAGTCCCCAGAGGCCAAAAACACCATTCGTTCAAATTTATATATACAGTCGAGTCCCGCAAACTCGGCACTCGATAACCCGGCAGTCTGGATAACTCGGCCATCACCTGGCTCAGAAAATTAGTGATTTTTGAGTCCTAGTTAAACATGGACTTAAGCCAGCTCAAGTGAAATCATTCGCAGCTCGTACCAAGGATATGTTGTACTAGATCTGATGACTTACTACTAACTTGTAATATAAATATAAATAAAAGAGGCAGTTAAAAAGCTTGAAAATGTTATTGTTATTACTTTTTAATCCTAGTTCCCGATAACCCGGCATTTCACAAACTCGGCACCCTTCCAGTCCACATTACGCTGAGTTTGCGGGACTCTACTGTATATATATATATGTGTGTCCGTGAACTTGAGTGATTTTTGTCCGATTTGGATGAAATTCAGTTTAAAGGTGGAAGGCGGGATAAACTTGAATGAGTTTGCGAACCAGCATCATCGGACCATGGGAACGGGGTTTTACAAGGGGTTTTATGGGGTAAAAATTGGTTTTTCTCATTTTTGATCTTCAAAATACAAAATTTCCCAATATCTCTCTAGTCCTTTTTAAAGAGCTTAAAAAAAAATAATTTAGTATATAAGGTGTTTTTGTACGGTAATTGGTAACAGAGAAAATTCAAAAAATTCTAAATTTAAATTTCTCATGTTACAGTAGTCTTATGGAGAATATTGTCAAATGTTGTAGTTTGCTTGTTAATGGATATATTTTGATTAAACTTGGCATTTTTATTTATTTTATACTAAGCTATTATTATTTTACTAAAAAACACACTTATATTAGTTTCCTTGCAGCAGCAAACCTAGGTACACGTTAAGCCTAATGATATTTAAATAGATAGATTTAAATAGAATTTAAATAGCGCTTTGCTCTTTTACACCAACATCCTGGCAAAGGTATAAACAACTTTATTTGCAACAAAGTTGCCGCTTGTAAAATGTTGAAAATAGGATAATTTTAATAGGTTGTCTCGTTCTATCAAATACACGATCTGACATAAAATAATTGATAAGCAATCACCCTTTTTAGATATTTAGTATTCGTCCATTAAAACCGGAATCCAACTAGGCATTGGATGACTAATATACCTTGGAAATAAAGGTTAGTAGTTCAATTAGCACAACATTCTATATTTTGTAACGACCCAAAACCCGTCAAGGGGTAAAAACCCGATTTTTAAAAGTTTCATTTTAAATATTATAATTTTCTACGTTCGGGGTAAGCCGCGCCCGCGTTGTCAGCGGCATCGTAGGGGCAATGGTCCTACGTCATCGTAGAGGGGATGACGCTAGTTACCTACCCCGCCGCCAGGGGCGATGGCGAAGAA